AGTTTTAGAACTTACATGCATCTATGAATCCATACAACAGGAAGGTGTCAAAACTCAGGTTTTCATCCATTCATTTGGCAGACACACACACAGCATATGCTATGTGTCAGGCACCAGCTGAGGCACCATGAAAGGTGCAAGATGTAAAAGGCACCAAGACACTGCAGCCCTCATGGACTAATAAGAAACATAGGTAACTATAACACCACAGTGAGCTAGGTAGGAAATGATCACTTTCTCAGTATCTCAAGTAAGGTAGAAAGTTTCTTATCTGACATTTTTGTACAGCTTTGTTCTTAACAGACCGTACCATGTTATATATTTCATTTCTTAATTCCACTGTCATGGATGTTCTAGGCATCTAATAGTTCTTGTTAATTTACTTTAATTCATGGTTTATTTTTAGACACCTGTGAAAAAGCAGAAACATATATAATTACATGCATGATCTTGGAAATTTATTTCCAGAAGTTACTGTCTTAGAGACCATGAAATGAAATTATAGATTTTACAATAGCATGAGTTCTAATCTGAGTATGTTCAAAAGCCACCTGATTTGTGGTAAGAAAGAATCTCCCTCCACACTTAGGCTCTTGTGCACTTGGATCCCTCTGAAGAATGGTGATATGACTAGATCAGCTAGCAGCACCTCTGCAAAGCAGAGTAGGTGTGTCCATGCTGGGAGCCCCTGTGGGATCACCACTCCCACCAAAGAGCATAATATTCCCTAAGCTCCCCTACACCTTGACGTTTAAGATAATAATCTCACTTATATTATGACTTTCCACAAATAAGATCTTAAGTCTCTGTCTTGATTATTTTTTGTTGTTGTTGCTGAGACAAAATACCTGATACTCCAAATTAAATTAAGGAAAGAAAGGTTTATTTAGCTCACAGTTTGTGGAGATTTTAGTCTATAATCAGCTGGTACCAAGGCAGGGTGACATGGCACAAGGGCAATAGTTTAAGGTTGCAGAAGACAGCAATATCAGCAAGAGCAAAAGCGGAGGGAAAGTAAGCCTCTTTTCTTCCCTTGTATTGTAAGCAGACTACCTCCCGCCCAGGATGGGTGTAGCACTCACACAATTTCCATGCCCTCTTCTTGTACAAGATGAGGATGTTTACAAAGTAAGGACCCTGGCTCCCTGCTGAATCACTTAGTTAAACTTTTAAACTTCTCAGGTTGAAACAGTGTGTCAGCCATTACAGTCCACCCCTTTCAACTTGGGATCCGGACACATTTTTTTAAACTGGTTTTTAGATATAAAGATATGCTTATCTTAACATTTTATAACTTGAACATTATAACAAGGTTTAACAATCCTTAAGAACCAATGTTAAGCCTATTACACTATATTAGAACCATAACATTTTGTCTCTAGCCCGGAAAAGACTCATGCACATCTCCTTATGTAAAGGGCATTTAGTCTGTAAGAGTTGCCGAAGTCTTAACAGTTTAGTATTACTGAAAAACCTAAGTCCCAAGTTTTCGCTGTAAGGCAAACTCTTAGTTGCAAGCCCCTGTATAAATGAAAAGTTAGACACTTTAACATTTAACATCACAAAATAAACATTTTTATTCCAAAAGTTGTAAATGAGGATATAAAGGATTAGGACCAAAGCAAATCTAAAATCCAGCAGGGCAGACATTAAGTCTTGTAGTGTTAAGTCTAGCAGCTGAAGTAATCTGGCAAGTTGTGAGCTCCCAAGGGCTTGCATGACTCTATCCCTATGGCAATTTGGTGGTTGTAGTTCCCACAGCTTTTTTTTTAAGGCCTGTTTTGTTTTATCCTTGCAGCTTTCTTTAGATGGTCTGTGTTTTTTACTTTTTTAAATTTTGGGGGTTTTTACTGTACCTTTGGCTTTTTACTCACAGCTTTACATACTGTCCTCTCAGGTACAAACTGCCTGGTTCCCCAGGACTTTTGAAATCAGGCTGGAAGCCTTTTTAATCCCGTAACTCTTGCATTTTGCATCCCCCTAAAACCAGCACCATGTGGATGATGCCAGGGTCTGCTGCCAGCTAGAGCAGTAGCCAGGCTTTTTTTTTGCTCTTGGCTGTAGGGGTTGAGTGCCTGGATTGCTGGGCACTTTAAATCTAATTTTGAGGAACAAATTTTTTATGCATAGCACATTTTGGAACCTGATGTGGGCACCACCATTGTGGAACGTGGTGCTCTGTGGCTTTTTCCTCGAAGCAAATGTTTTTACTTCAACAGTTTTGAGACTGCAGAGGGTAGAGACTTGCTGCTTTTTGTGATGCCCTCAGGCCATCTTTTTTATTTTCCTGAGGTTTTTTAGCAATCAAGATCTTTGTAGTTCTGTCTTTGTAGTCCACAGCTTCACTGGAGCTTCCTTTCTGGTCACCCTCACAACATTTTAAATTATCCTGTTGGATTCTTTGCTCTTGATTCTCAACACAAATCTCATTAAAAGCCCCCAACAGTAGCCATGCCACAACATTTGACTGCCATGAAATTTTTTCTGCCAAGTTAGTCTGCCACCCTTAATCTTAGTCTCAGGCAAAGTCTTTGGACATGAGCAAAATGCAAACAAACTTTCTGCAAGGCATAACACACGTCATCTGGAGTCCAACAGCTGATGTCCTTCTCAGCAGAAACCTCCCAAACCTGGTTCTTACCCTCAGGATTTTTGTCAGCCTTTTGGTCTTTTGAGCTCTGGCCAGAATCTCCCATATAGAACAGCGCACAGCATTTTAGCTCTACTATTTTAGGCATCATCTCTGAACCTTTCCAAACTCTTCCCACAAGCCATTCCCAAAGGCTGTTGAACCACATGGTCAGGTATGGTCAACAGCAATGACCCCCCTCCTGGTACCAAATTCTGTCTTAGTTATTTTTCTCTCATTGCTGAAACAAAATACCTGACACCCCAAATTAAGGAAGGAAAGGTTTATTTAGCTCACAGTTTGTGGAGGTTTCAGTGTGTAATCAGCTTGCTCCAAGGCAGGGTGCCATGGCACAGCAGCAACAGCTCTCTTTTCCTTCCTTATATTGTAAGCAGGTTACCTGCCCCCCCCCCACCTCATGCCCCAAGAAGGTACATCACTCACACAATCTCCATACCCTCCTCTTGCACAGGATAAAGATGTATGCAAAGTAAGGACCCTGACTCTCTGCTGAGTCACTTAGTTAAATTTCTAAACTTCTCAAATTGACACAGTATATCAACCATTATAGTCTCCTTTATCACCACTGTGGCAAATACAGTGATATAAAAGGAACACTCTGCTGATGCATTCATCATTCTTTCACTTTTTTATTTTTTTATGTCTTCTGTAAACCAAAATGCCATTTATGAGAGCTTTCCCTAGGTACCCAAAGTAATTAATAACATAAAAATCATATCACTAGTTTGCATGCCAGGCACATTATCCCATTTAATTCTCACATCAATAAAGTGTAGACCTGTAAATTATCCTTATTTTGTAGATGAGGAAACTGTAATTTAGATCATTGAGAAACTAGCCCAAGATCAGTAGCAGTTAGTGGCAGAGTTTATTGTTGAAAGAAGTCCCCAGTTTCAAAAACTCACTATGATAGGAAACTCAAAAGCTGCTTTGCATTATCAGCAAGCACAGCCTAGTCCCCAGCTGCCAAAAGCCTGAGTTGCTGTAGTTCCTTGTCTGCATTTCGAGCTATCTTTGTCTTGCTCTGGACCCCTCTTAAATCCTTCTCTAAGGTCATAGAGAGTAGTCTGTTAGTGTTTTTTTAATCAGCTAGTTAGTATTGAACTGAATGTTTAATAAATATCATAAAGGTAAACAAATTTAACAAGTAAAGTCTAATAGTAAAATAAGTGATTGATCAATTTGTTTAAATCACAGTGATCAAAGAGGGAAAAAAATTGCTTATCCTCAGTATGTCTCTGCTAGCTATTTACTGTCCCCCTCAGGCAGCTACAAAATGAAGGGCTTAAAAAAAAAAATAGAATGAAGGGCTTTCCTAACCAACGTTTGGCCTAGCCTCCTACTAAGAGGTCGGCCTCCTGAAGGAGTGTTCTGCTCACTACTGTGACCTGGAGGGAAAGCAGCACTTTGAGCCTGAAAAGTTGTGAATAAGTTTGTTGAATGAGTTCTTTAACTTGGTAGAATGTGGCTCTTCTGATAAAGGTTGTAATTCACTGAGCGCTAGTTCTGTCATCTATTGAAAATATTGTAACTGTGTGCTGTGGAGAGTTCAGATGTCTGATAGCTTGTGATACATATTTTGTTCATATTCAGAGATTTTATTGTCTTCCCCTTTTCCTGTACGTTGTAGATCATCTCTGGGTGCTGTTTCCAGATGTCTGTATGGTGGTTGCATCAGAAATCGCTGTGGATATTGTAAAGCATGCATTCATCACCAAGTTCAATGACATTACTGCAGATGTATGTATTCCTATAAGCAGTTCAGTGTTTATAGTTTACCTGACTTCTTAATATCGTAAAGTTGTAGAATGATGAATTTAGGTTTATTGCATTTATGAAGATGATAAAAGGTTATTTTAAAATTACAGTTATAACTTCAAGCTTCTAAGGATTATTACACTACTGAAAGTATTTTCTTTGACTGTTAAATAGTTCTAGGTTCCATACTTTTGGATGGAATTCTTCCTCAACCAGTAGTTGACACTGGAATGTTATTAACTCAAAATAATTCATTATACATTGCTAGTACTATCATCTATTATTTATGTACATTTTAAAAGCCATACAGTATCTACTTTAAAAATTAGATGATCAAGCCTAGGCATGGGGGTATATGCCTACTCTCAACAATTGGGAGGCTGAGGCAGGAGAATTGGCATGAGTTCAAGGTCTGCCTGGGGTACATAGTGAATACAAGGCCAGCCTGAACTACAAAGCAAGATGCTTCCTCAAAAAACAAAACGAAACAAAAACTAGACCATCAAAACTTTTCTCTGGCTGGTTTTTAATATACTTTCTATTTAAAAATTGGGATTTGTTTTTCTCCTTGTGGATATAAATAGGTTCCTGAATTCTAGAAGACAAGAGCTGTATATTCTGGTAAAAATGTATTCAGAACCTTTGAAAGATTATTTTTACATTGTAATCATATTCTCCAAGTGTCTAGAAATAGGTATAGAGGTTTGGGCTCATTGTATATGTAGTAAAACATGCAGTTTCCTAGTACATTGGTAATTCTACCTCAGTCCGAAAGTACAGTTCAGCTGCTTGGTAGATTTTATTCGGTTGTACTTCTAATAAAGTCATACTAATACTTACTGTTTCAGTTTCAGAGATTTAAAATAAAATGCAGTTGTAGTTGCTAATTATCAGTATTTGCAGATGACATGATACTCTACATAGAAGACCCCAAAAACTCCCACCAAAAAATTCAGTAGCATAGCTGGATACAAGTCAACACTCAAAAATCAATAGCTTTTCTCTACACAAATAACAAACACTGAGAGAGAAATTAGGGAAATACCACCTTTCATAATAGCATCGAGAAAGTGAAATACTTAGGAATCAATCTAACGAAGGAAGTAAAAGATCTTTACATTGACGTGTAGAGTACTCTGAGAAAGGAGATTGAAGAAGATATCAGAAAATGGGAGGACATCCCTTGCTCTTGGATAGGAAGAACCAATATAGTGAAAATGGCCATACTTCCAAAATTGTTACACAGTTTGATGATTTCATTATGAGTTTCCAAATGCTTTCACTGGGAAAAGTACAATTTTGTACTTTTCTGTGAAGCACTGAAAAAGTGAGTTTATTATGTCTTTTGGCTTCCTCAGTACAGAATGATTCCCTTTTCATAGGTTGGTTTTCTCAATACCTGACATCAAAATTAATAGGCTCAATGCGGGGATTTTATGCAGTTTTTTAATGGAAATAGCAATTTACAAGCAGCCTTATAACTGCTACAATGGTAGTACTGTGTTCCCTAACTTGTTTTTCTATTTTGCTGTTAGTAACCATTTTTCTAAGAAGGCATTGTTATAATTAGAAATACAATATTAATAATTGTTAGGCTTTTCAGAATTCAAATTTTCAAAAAAATTTTATATAAGACACTATTTAAAATAGGCACTTTTCCCAAAACTCTCTGGATCACAGTCATTGAATATTCCTCTACAAAGAGAAAAATGTTTGTAAGAACTTCTGAATGTAACAGTTCAGGGGAATTGAGGCTGTGTTCTACAGGGAAGCAGAGAAACCTTGTCCAGATATCTGCTTGCTCTTAGCACCTATTCTCATTTAATTGTTAAACATTTTCATGTACAAAATAAATCTTTCCACATTATGTATTTGTGCTAGATAATGTAGTATTTCTTTCTTATTTTTCTTTAGGTCTACAGTGAATATAGAGCCAGCCTTGCTTTTGATCTTGTTAGCAGCCGACAAAAAAATGTGAGTATTTTATCGGAGACATAAAATTAACTGAACAGTGGTTAAATTTAGCAAGGCGTATTAATTAAGGAAAACTTATATTTTCTATCCATTTGTATAATACACATTAAATATTTACACACTAACAATACTTCCATTATGAAATGTATGACTTTTGCATCATAGTTACAATTCCACAATTGTGTATTCAGAATACCTTGTGAACAGTAAGATATCCACATCATTTTACTACATTATCTAACAGGTACCAGATTATTTTCCTGCTTATAGCCTCAGCTGTTTAGAACATTTGCTGGTAATGAGTGAATATGAGTACTTTTTAAGTGCTGGTTAATTCCCGCAACTCTGAATCCATTTCTCCTTCCTCTGCAGGCATATACTGATTACAGCGACTCCGTAGCACGGAGGATGGGCTTTATTCCTCTCCCACTAGCTGTTCTAGTAAGTACATACTTTCGGATTTCTTTTTAAAGGTAATAATCATCATCATAGAATATTAATAAATGGATTATCAGTAAGATACCTATTTTAAAACGACTTAATATAAAAATTAAAGGTAAATAACATGGAAGGAAAGTTTGCTTTGAATTATAGCATTAATCTCTTGGGTTTTGAGCCATCCAGTAGATAAGTGATGTTAAAGAGTTGTTTATGTAAATAGCTTTCCTAACAGTGGGAAAACTCTTGCTTACTTATTTGTCAAAGATTTTTTTAAATGGATATACTTGGCAATAGGCATAACATGTCCCCCTGAACACATAGTGATGGCCATGTACGTTAATTCAATATTTCTAGAGACCTGTTTGCCAGGAGCAAGCTTTGATGCAGTTATTCCAATTCTAGGAGTTTCTTAGAAGGAAATCATGATAAAAGGCACACAGTGCTTGGTGGCCAAGGCTGCGCACTGCAGTGGCATTGATAGTAAAAATTTAAAAACAAGTATGTTAAAGTATGATATGCCCAAATGAAGATGTCCTTGGTATCTGCTGAATTACCATTTTTAAAGTTTTTTCCACAATTTTCACATTGAAAGTTCTTACTGGTGTGTTCAAAACATAACATAGTTGGTTTTTTTTTTAAATAAAAATAGTCCTGAAATGTAAATCAACCCAGGAAAAGGTTCTCAGCTTCAAATACTATATTTGGATGAATTCTCAGAACAGCCCTGCGGCTATTTGCCAGCCACGTCAGGCTGTAATCTTGTTGATTAGGTTTGGTGACTGTGCCAGGAGTAGTGGCACACACCTGTAAGCCAGCACTCAGGATGCTGAGAGAAAGATCTCAAGCTCAAGGACAGCCTGGGATACACAGTGAGTCCTTGTCTCAGAAAAAAAAAAAAATAAAGATTTGGTGATGACATCTGCATGTGATTGTTTTCCTCCTGGACTGTCTGTTCTTGCATCAGAACAAAGGAAGCCATCTTTTTGCCAGACATCTAAAGTTCTCCTAGAAGCAGTCCTGTTCAGCTCAACTAAAAACTGTATAAGGCGGTGGCAGGACATGCCAACGATACTGAAGCAGCTACCTGACTTTCTTTAGATGATGGATTATTAATACGTTTAATGTTACTTAATTTTCAGTGTGACTTTCCAGATAACCACCTCCTAAATATTTTCAATTATATTAATAGCTCATTATCTTGTAGTAACACACATTTCTTTTGCTTGGATAAAGGAATTCCTAGTATTTTGGAAAAATAAAAGAATTTTAAAGAGTAAAATTTTTTAGTAAATGTTGAAGACATTGGTAGAATATTAAATTTTTCTACATTCACTTCTGCAACTGAAAACATGATACATTCAGTTGTGAAGATAAACCTAGATTCCCTGATTGATTTTTAGTAACAGTCATTTCCCTCCTGGAGGCTGTCAGTTTAGGCAAGGGTTCCCATATCACTTGTCTCATGTTGAAACTTTATCACATACACAGCAGTCCATTCCCCCTACCTCATCTTGTATTCTTTTATTAAAAGCATTTCTTGAAAATCTCTTAAAATGCAAATTAATATTTAAGGCACCCTGATAGACTCTTCCACTCAGTAACACTATGGATAAGGCCAGTTCTTGTCCCCAGTTCTCCCCCAGCGTGTAGCTGTCCCTCCAGACCTCATCGCAGAGGCACAGCTGAGCTTGTGTAAACATTTTCCTTTGAACGGTGTCACCAGACTGATTCAGTAGACTTCCTAGGACAGTGCTGTCGTTCCTGTAGTTCTGTAAGATAAAAAGACAGTGGGTGTTCTACCATAATTATCCAGAAGTGACAGAAGTTTTTTGACTTTTAGGCAATTGAGTTTTAATAGTACTTAGTTTTTTTAAACAGCAAAAACTTTCTAAGAAGAAAAGCAGAAATAAGGGAAACACCCATCTGTTGCTTCCAGCTCTGCTGGGGACATGTGTAGCAGCAAGTTTATCTGTCCTTCCCAGAAGATGTTTCTCTAAACAATGAGCTGCATTGCATCCCTCTTGGGTACAGACAGAGGTGTCAGCAGAGTAGCGTCTGACTTCGCAGTCAGCAGAAGTCAGGTTGCATCCTGATTGGCCTGAGCAAACCAGATCCTATACAAGGGTTTCAAACGTAGGCAAGCTTTGACACAAATTGATACGTCCAGAACTATGTTCTCTGAGTGAGGTGAAGGCCACAGGTATGGCCTGAAATGCCAAAAGAATCTTTGAGAAATCTTGTATTTAAATAACAACTATTAACTCTGGCTGTGTGTTTTGGTTTGTTTCTGGCTAGCTCATCAGAGTTGTAACAAGCTCAATTAAAGTGCAAGGAATCCTGTCCTATGCCTGTGTCATACTCTTCTATTTTGGGTAAGATTGACTATTCTTGAATGTGTTTTTGATTTTAGAGTATAAATGTAAGATGTAATGGAACTTAATAGCACCTAAATCATACGTCTCCCACTCTGTGTACTTCAGATCTCATTTTAATCATGAATGAATTTTTTTACTTTAAACTGCCATTTTTTGTTTTTTGCTTTGATTTCATTTTTTCCTATGTTTACTTTTATGAAAAGAAGGCATTGTAGTCAAACATTCTTCTGTCCAAAACCACCTTTGACCTTCTAGTAGGTTTGCCATGTTTAATTATGTAGGCCCCGCTAGCCAGTATCAGACCCTCCCCAAGGCTGCAGAATTGTAGAGTCTGTACCCACAGCAGGCTAAACTTGACCTTCAAATCTGTTGGTCTCAAGTGGTTTCCATTCTAGTTGAGGGAGACAAACAGGAAATGAATAACTAAAATACTCAAGATAGTCACAAATGATGGGAAGAAAATAACAACATGTATCGGTAGTTTTCCCATTGTTAGTTTTCTTCGGCAGTAAACTGAGGATATAAGTGATGTAGCCTGGCTTCAGCTTATCTTACTATAAAAGACTGGGAAGCCTGAGCTCACTGCTCACAGGATGCATGGTGGTTAGCTCTGGAAAGGGTTGAGCTGGTCAAGGGCCCTTCGGAGGGAGGAGAGTGGGGAGCGAATGCACAGAAGAGAGTAACTTCAGCAGTAGGTTCCCTCGGAGTCGTGCCACGAGAGAGGTCTGGGGTCAGGACGTCTGAGCAGCTCCGGCTCCGTGCTGGAGTGTGCTTTCTGTCCACCTGGTCCCTGCACACCACTGGCACATGGCAGATGCTCAGCAAGCTGCTTGTGGAAGCAGCCGAGTAACAGTTCCTTCACCTTGTCTGCACGCTACGATTCCCTGAGCACATCAGATTAGGAACGTGCCCCAGGCTTGCTGCAGTGCCCTGTCTTGGCCCTTGGAGCCATGTCCAGGCCATGTGGATGGCAGTGATGCCCCCAGCAAGATAGAACTCTGATCCAGTTACAGAGCCTTTCCGTTCCCATCCACACAGATGCGTAGTCTATTTTCTCTTGTTAATAATACGGCACCAGACATGGTTAGGTTATGGAGAAAAGAGATCTGTTTGGCTCATGGTCCTGGTCTATGATGAAGAAGCCACTTCCGGTTACATCTTGTCACTGGCAGAGTCCAAGTGCTGAGGGCATCCGAAGGCAAGAGCCAGGGAGTGCATGCCAGGCCCTCAGTGGGCTTTCACAGCAGGCCCCTCTGGAGGTCACGCACTGACTACGGATCCATTCACCTCTTCATTTCCTAATGGGAATTACATTTCAGCATGACTTTTGGTGGGGACAAACCACCACTGTATCATAGTGTCCCTTTCATTGTTTTGACATTAAAGATCATGAGACTGTCGCATTCTGGTACACATTCCTACACCACCTGTCGGAGTCCTTTGCATTGTACTGTGTTGATCATGTGGAATTGCCATAATTGCTTCCATCTTGGTGTAGTCAGCTAATTGATGAGGATTTTTATATATAACCAAACCAGGAAGTGAGACGTGTATATACCATACCTGAAAGACTCTATGTAGTTAGAGCTATCTGAGCACAGTTCATCAAACAGGATGCGGTTTTATTTGAATTACTGATACCTCCTGTCCAGTGTCAACTTTCCTCTCTCATCTTAGCGCTTCTCTACCGGCGTAGTCCAGCCAGACCCCTGTGCTCACCATTCTCCGCATCCTGATTATTCTGGCTCTCCATGTCTCTGAATAATTCCCAAACTAGTCTCTCCTTCTTCACAAACTTTCTCAAAACCACTTGGCCTTGTCGCCTTCTTTATTCTTTATTCGCCAGCATCCCCGCCCTGCTTTTCCCACCACAACCACCCGCTCTCCCCACCCCCACCGTGGCCAGCAGAAGAGACTCACCACGGCCACCCTACATGCACCCCGCAGTCCTCAGGAAGCTCGGCAAGTGCCCAGCCCTGGTTACTGACATTCTAGGGACCAAATAGTTGTTAGCTAGAAAAGCAGTTAGTTCTTGAGCGACAGGTGCTTGTAAGTGTTGGAAAGAAAAGCATGGGAGTATGAGGGAAGGTGCACATGGACGCCTGAGCTGCCAACTGAGAAGGCTGGGAGAGCGGGAAGAGTGGAGGGGACACTCGGGCCCAGGCCCAATGGGAGCCTCAAGGCGAAGGAGGGGACGGCCCAGGGCCTACAGGCCACACCCGCTCTTCACTGTGTTTCAGCTGGCACCAGAGGCCTCCTTCTGTGTCGCTTAAAGTCCACTATCACGTTCTGTATTCAGAGCATAGCAACATGCCAGTGACAACTTTTCTGTCCACCATTTTTTGTCAGATTTATATCATGTGCTTTAAAACATTAAACGTCTTTTAACCCAAAAATTCTGCTTCTGTAAGTACAAGTGTCTAGCACTTTATCTTAATTAAGGAAATGCAGATTTGACATAAATTTTCTTAATCAGAAGCTTAATAGAAGCAAAATATTGGAAATGTAAAGAAGTAGGGCCTGTTTGGAGTTTTGGTATGTGATGACCTATAAAGTTAAACATTCTTTTTTTTTAACGGTACTGGGAGTTAAACCCACAGCCTTCACACTGAGCTGCGTCCTCAGCCCTTTTATTTTGAGATAGGGTCTAAATCTGTAAGTTGCCCAGGTTGGGTTCAAACTTGATACCCTCTTGCCTCAGCCTCCTAGAGTGCTGGGATTTCAGGTGTGTACCACCATGCCCAGCCTGAATTAAACATTTTTAAGCCACTTAGAATAACGTCTGTCACTGAAGAGCTTTGACATGGAAAGACATTTGTGGTGTTACTGTACTACACTGTAACTGACAACGATAGTGAAGTAACCAACATGCTGAACATTTCCATGCCAAGCTCTGCTCTGAGCACCTTGCCCAGCTCCTCTGCTTTTGGCTCTGCTGATGAGGGAGCTTGCCTAGGTCCCGCAGGATCTGCTCACACCCGGGACCCCGGCAGGTGCCCCGGTTCCCCTCAGGATACTACTCCCTCCTCCTGCCTGTGCCTGACCTCACTCTGCAGTGGGGAGCAGTAGTAGATGACACAGCGCTGGGGTTTATCAGCTGGTGTAGAACTAGACATTATTTTCTTGCCTTGTTTAGTTAATTTGTATGTACTGAATATATGTTTTGTAATAAGAGAATAAATAAATGTTAAGTAATTAAGTACCAGGACAACTTCTAAATAGTATAATTTCCTATGAGAGCTGAGAAATTTATCAGAATTTTTACCTCTTGATAAAGAAGCCCAGGGAGCACAGGCTCTGGGTGAGGAGCTCGTACATCTCAGTCTGGGTCCCCTGACTTCCAGGTCCTCTGACTTCCAGGTCCCCTGACTTCCGGGTCCCCTCACTCCTGGGCCCACCACTTCTCCCACACCCCGCACCTTCTCATCAGCTGGGTCGGGTGAACTCCAGCAGTGCTTATTTCTGTTTGTGGTTTTAGGTTGATATCCCTGAAAATTCTTAACAGCATTGTGCTGCTGGGGAAATCATGCCAATATGTGAAGGAAGCCAAAATGGAAGAAAAGCTGTTTAATCCTCCCCCAACCAGCACTCCAGGCAAACCATCCAACAAATCCCAGAGCAAATGTAAATCCTCACAAGGTACGTCGGGTTCTTTTCAGTGTTTTCCTGAACATTTTCAAGTTAATTGTCTAAACTCTTCCTGATAAAAGTCACCTCAGTCAGCATTTAGCAGTGCTTCAAAGCTTTGGTTTCACTTTTCGTGCTGTGTGGGAATTTTAATGGTCATGTTTTAGTTGTCATCTTTGGATGCACGTAACAGTGCCAGAATTTTTGCTGTTGTTCCTTTGTTCAGATGGGTGTGGAGTCCTGTCACATTCCAGGAACAGGGAACAGGTCACATCCAGGGGACAGGGCGGTGAGGAAAGGGCAGTGCCCCTGCTCGGGCAGCTTCCTCTGCACATCTGGAGCGGGGGAGCATTGTGCACCGTGCCCGGTACAGCGAGGCTGGACAGCTGGACAGGGTCAGGAAGGGAGGAGAGATGGGCATGGGAACCCCTGCTGAGGGGTGACATTGAGCGGCGCTGCTTGATGTCCCGGAGGACGGCAAAGGCCAGGAGCTGGGGTTGCGGGACTGTGGAGAAAGGGACTGGAAAGGGGACTGAGGGGCTGCAGAGGGTTCGCTGATGATAAGGTGGTGCCGCGAGAGGAAGTCTCGTGGGGGTTTACTTGTTCCGTGTAAAGCTGCCATGTGCTGGGTCACAGAGGCGGTGCTGTGTCGGGTTATAGGAGTGATGGCTTCAGGGCCTGCTTTCCAAAGGGGAGACTGCTCAAGTGGGAATCCCAGTGGGCAGGGGGAAGGAGAGGTGGGGGTGTCCCACAGGTGACTGAGTCTGAAGTACATCTTGAAGGGTGAGAAGTAGACCAGATGAAGACAAGTGGGGAGGGCTCCTGAGGGGAGGGGTGAAGGTAGGTCACTCGTGGAGCCTGAGAAGCACACAGAGCTCACAGCCCAGCGGCCCAAGAGAGCAGAGCTTGCTTTGGAAGGAGGAGGCGAGCTGGACCCAAGTTTCCATGGCCCTTCCAGCAAGGGCCATGCTCATCATGTGTGCTTTACCTAAAGCTAATATAAAGCGACATCAAAAGTAGTTCTGTCATTATAAAGAGCATAGAAGTACTGTTTATGGGTCAGAGCTTGCGTGATCCCACTGACTTGTGCGTCTGCATGCGTTGTTATTTATCAGAAGACATCAGCAGGTGCCATTCTCACTTTCAGGAGTTTTAGGGGCTAACACCTTGCAGCAGGGTGGACTACAGGACCAGGACTCCTGCAACAGGGAGTAAGCTTAGGACTAGTGGTTGGGAGGGATGTTTTGCAGGTCAGAAGGCCACAGGCTGGAGACCACTCGGGAGGATGTCGGGGTAAGGCGGGACTGTTGCTCAGGACAGCGTCAGGTCCATCACATCCCAAAGTGCAGGAGACAGGGGGGTCCCAAGAGACAGGTGTGACCGTTGGCCCCTCGGTGCCAGTGGTTTCAGCAGCATGCACACATGGCAGCGCTCAAGCTATACATTGTAAGTAGATGCAGCAAGCCACACTGCACTGTTGGCTCAGAAAAGCCGTGCTTGAAAGGACTAAACGTGCAATTCAGAGATTGGTCAGTCCAGGCCCAGCTAAGCTGTCCCAGAGGCCGGGCCCCAGGATTCCCGTGGCCTGAAGCAAACATTGGGCGTTTAGTTAGGTGGTTGGTTGTTTTTCCCTCTGATTTGGACTTCTAGAAGTAGTGATACCAGACCCAGTCTCGTTAAAGTGACTGCGCATAGAGGTGGAAAGCATTAAAGTCTGTTCAGCACTGACCCGAGGCCTGAGCAGGAGAGCTGATGTTCACTTTCAGGTCTGGCCATAGTCACGAGAGAGTGCTGTAATGTAGGAGTTACGAGCTTTCAGAACTGGACGATGGCGTTATCTGTGTGATACACTGTACCCTTTGGTAAAATTCTGAATGAGCATATAGTGAAGCCAAGCTGCTTATAGTTTGCTATTTGATTATCTTTTGTTTTATCTTAAGAGGGCAGGTAGTGGACACTTCTTTCAGTACTGCTGAAAATATGAGTATTGATGAACGGCCATGCTTTGTAAATTGGGGGAAAATCATTGTCTAATTCAGTGGATCTCCTTTCCCACAGGTCTTTCCACAGAAGAAAACCTGTCTGCCTCGGTCACCAGCCAGCCTGTTCCTCAGAAGGAAACCGTCACACCGTTACTAGTGACCAGCAACTCTGATCAGTTCCTGACAACGCCAGATGGTGACGAGAAGGACATAACGCAGGAAAACTCTGAATTAAAACACAGATCCTCAAAGAAAGATTTGCTAGAAATAGACAGGTTCACAATTTGTGGAAACCGAATTGACTGACGCCTGTGGCTGTGTCCTGAGGCTGCTGGACCGTGGGGCAGCCCGTGTGTGCTGCCAGGGCAGACAGATACTGAAAATGGCACTTAAATATTTATTTAAAAACTTAAATTATTAATGGCAAGCAAATCTTAGTCTCTTCCTTCCAATAACGTGGTCTGGCTAAAGGTCAGATCACAGAACGTCGGTGACCTCGGCCTTGACTCCAGGAAGCAGGGTGGTCGATGGAGCGTGGCCAGGCAGCGACGGCGGCAGTGCTCTCAGCCTGGGCGGGAGCAGGGAGCTCCTGCACCCTCCAGCCTGGGCTTCAGAACAGCGTGCTTTGCCCCAAGGCCTCTTCAGTATAAGGATATACCTGGGAAACTGTGAAGCTTCTGCCATAAATTACCTTTCCACTCAAACTGTTTTCACAAGCAGTTTTCAAACTTTACTTCATCTGCCAAAGCATTAAAAAAAAATTAAACATAAGATAAATGTTCTGACCACCAGAATCATCCTTGAAGATATATCTGAATTAATCAGAATAAAAGGCTACCTTAAACAAGACATAATGAATAGTAGCATTTTATAGAAAATTTTTTTTTAAAGTCCTAAACCAGTTCCTTTATTTAAAAGAAAAAATAAGGTTATTTACCACTGAGAAAATATTTCATTATTTTTCAGTTTGTTTTTTAAAGCAAAATGGGAGCTGTGTGATATTTAATTGCAGTGGATAAGATAGGCATTTCCTTACAGAAAGGCATTTTATAACTGAAAAAACACAACAGTGTTGACTTCAAGCTGCAGTTAACTGAATTTGCTTTAAAATTAATTGCTTCATCAGTTATTGACAGCTAAAGGATGAGGTGTTGTATAGGCTGAGAAATTGTCAGTGTAAAGAATTTAAAACTGTCAACTTTAACTGGATTTTTAAAGTAAGATTTCAATATTCCAAGTGGATTGGGCAGCAGCGTCTTGCTTGGGCTTGTAAAGCGCGTTCCTCCTCCTCCGGCCGTCGGTGGGGGCCCTGTCCCCCAGGGAGGTCTGCGTCCTGCACAGGCAGGGAGGGCGGGCAGCCTGCACCGGTAAGCACGGTGTGCGGAGCGCGCGGACACCTGTCTGGTCGGAGGCATTTGAGTGGAGATGCTGGGAACACAGCGGCCACAAGGTGCTTTTTGGTTTTGTTAGAGATCAAGATTCCATTTTTGCTTGGCACTGCTTCACGGCCTGCGTCATAGGACAAGTTATTTCCGCCCCGTGTTAGCCTGCTACTCCTTCCTGCGTTTCTATAAAAGTTTTACCACTCTGGCTTCAGATCTGTCCAGAAGGTGGTACTGTTAACTTTGTTTCTTTTGGTGTTATGACCGTGCAGTTCAGCCCTCATGCAAAAGTTACAGGCTTCTCTATGCAGAAGGCAAAGTTTAAGTGTTGTTTATTTCCTGGGGAAAGTACAAACCAAGCTTGAATGCTCTGGGCTTGTTCATTTGAAACACAAAAGTGAATTTTAACATTTTGCACTCAAATTTGAAGATTGATATCAAAGAGATTGTACAGAAATGCCTTTGTGAACCGGGAAATATTTTTAAGTTAAAACAACGTTTTAATTGCTTTAATAGACATTTCATTGCCCCCCCCCCATTTTAAAACTACTCTTTTTTTCCATCTCCTTTTCACCAGCGAAAGGAACAGTGTCCGTGGTGAACAGGAATAGTTTGGAGAAAGGTTTGCCAAACACAGCCCTGCTCCAAGCAAGAACATGGTTTGGGTATCTCTCAGTTCCACTTGAATTATCCCACTGTTGTGCTGTCATTTTCAGATTTTCATTTCCTTCGCAGATGCTGTCGGGGGTATGGGACGATACTCATTTCTTCTGTCGTAATGGCATTCAGTACTAATTTTATAAGTGCATCTTGTGTGAAACTCAATAAATTCAATTTTGTAATCTTTTTTAAAAAGGTCATGGAATTTATTTTGGTTTACTGTTGTTTTGGGTGGCATGGATTTCCCACACCACAATAAGAATTTATTTCTAACTTACAAATGATGGAACGATCATAACTTGAACTACCCTTTTGTTCTAAATGGTGGTAAAACATTCACTTCTGTCTGGTAGCCTGAGCCTTCATCATAGATGTTTCCCTGCCTCAGCACGTGAAAGTTTTGGCGTTCACAAGTGTTCTGCATGCCGCATAATGCAATTTTCACACCTAAGAGCCAAGTTCGAAACAGTGCCTCGGTATTTATTTTTTTAAAAGAATCCAATTAAGGCACAACAAAGGTCAGGCTCTTACTAGTTTTACCTTCAGAATCAAAGTAGAAATGCCAAATGTTGTTCATGAGTTTGCACAGACTTCCCCGGGGCCTCGGTCAACATTGAGACTGTGTTCATTCTCTCTCAGCATGCAAGCTTCCTCCAGTTAGCACCGCTGAATCTGTCCCTCCACTTCCATTGCTCAGCGGAGGGGAAGATGAGTTCACAGTGTAATTTTAAATCACTGTTTTGGTATATTTGGATTTCGTGTATTTATTTTTCCCACAAAGTGATTAATCACCTCCTGTGTGTGGGGAGCTGCTGGGAGTGGGAGATCAGCAGTGCACGAGGCCTCGCCTTCTGGGGACAGCTGACAGCAGTGAGTCAGTGAGCTCTGTGAGGGTCACAAGGTGTCCTGTGGCCAGGTGAGCTCCCAGGCTTCCACTTCTGCAGTAAATGTAGCTCTGCCATTTTTATTTAAAATTTATTTTTGTCTTGCCCAAACTAAGATTCTCTAACCATTTTGCAGTGCTTCTATAAAGTAGAAAGAAACAAGAAAACCTTTTTCACGGAAGACTGCTAGTTGTCCACTAGAATCGGCTCTCCTAGACAACAAGCATAGGTGGTGCGTAGCTGGCCACATTGCCCCCCAGCGGAGACCTGCATTTAAATCCCAGGCACTTGCCCTTGCATGGGGCCAAGTGACGAATCCTCACCTAGAAGGTATAAGCCGAGGGATGTGTGCCGTTTTCAGGCCAGGATTCTTAAGACAATGAGCCCCTTTCACCTTCTCTGTCCTCTTCACACCAGCTGGAATCCAGCCCCATGCAGTTACATGCATAGCACCCGAAGGTGACAGGTAAGACAAGGCACCTGTCCCGAAAGAGCTGTGTGAGCAGAGTTGCTGGTCAGCTTACGACAGCTTGGACTGTACATGAGAGGGAAATCAACATGGGAAATGCCCTTGGTGTTAAACCACTGACTGCTGGCCGTCTGTGTTAATGCTGGTTAGCCTCCTGCGGTACACCAGGAAATCGGAAATGGTCTGTTCGGAACTCTTCACATAAAGTAGTGTTAGGCTCCTGGAAATACTCCCTTTGGCTGCCCCCATCTGCTCTTTATTGTTTGCAGGGGAAAAGATAAGGCCCCGCTGGCCACTTTGGAGGTCAGACTCCAAGTAACCATAAACAGCATTAAGCTTGCTCAGAGGTAGCCAAGTCTGACTTATTCATACACTCCTAATGAGGGACAATTCATGACTATTATCTCTACAGAAGGAGAATACATTATAAGTACAACTATCAGCAAGGAGTAGAAGCAAGCACAGTTAAAAGAACAATAAAAGTATGTCTGAGCTCAGTAGCACCACAAAAGTGTTCGCTAAAGCTGTCCCTGGGCTGAGTCCAGTGATACGCGGGACTCCGAGGATGGTTTGTGTTTGTTTAATTCCAGTGAGGGGGAATGTGTACGACAGAAGGGAAGCTGTTCAGAAGAAGGTGGCTCCTAGAGGAGTTGGAGTGGTCTGAAAAGTCTTTTAGAGGGGTGCTCAGCAGTACTGAGCAAACAGCAGTAAGAAGAGTAGACATTGGGAGTTGGTGAAAGGCATGTTCTGACTTAGTGTAACAAAGCCGTATTTAAGGTTGCTTGATAAGTAAGGCAGCTGAGAAGGGTGGGCCTCCCTAAGTGTGTTTTGCTTTTAACACAACTTTCGGTTTTGCAGATGAGCAAACCAAGGGGGCAGGGCTCAACAATATATCTGTCATCTTTTTTAATGACAGTAATTGCAGAATCAATGAACTTTCGGTGACCAACCTAGGAAATGGGTGGTTAATTCTGAAACTGCCATTATTTTCAATAAGCACCTTTTTATTTCAGATGTCTACCTAAAATGTAAATCCTGGGTTAGCCAGGTACATGAAAGGCATAGTAAGGAGAAGGCGAAAACACCTTATTGGATTTGACTTAAGTGCTAGTCAGAATGATGCTCTGGGTTCACACAGCTTCTCTGTGGTCTAGTGAGGGGACGTGGGTTAAACAGGCCAGCCATCACAATCCAGGTGACAAACACACCATAGACCTAGGCTCTGCATCCTGCAGGACATCTCATTCAGAAAGCCGCCACCACTCTGCCCCGGGAGCCCTAGCACCTTGCACAGTTGCTGTCCACGGAGGCAGCCAATAAATATTTATTGGATGAATAAAATGAAAGCATAACCATTGTAGACAGTACACACTTGGGCTGCCTTGCAACAGGGAAGACTTAGGTAAGGGGAAGGAAGAGCAGGACAGGCACGCGTGGCGGAGGAAAGCAGCAAAGCAGGGCCTCAGTCGGAAAAACCAGGGACGGAGGAAGGGTGGGGTTAAATGCCTCGCTCAGAAACTTGGATCAAATCCTGTGGGCAAAGGATGCGAGGGGCACTCCAGTAGAATATTTATAAATTTGCTCATTTTCTCTCATTGGATTGTTAAATGAGAAAATGAGTGAAACAAATCTTGTGAACTATAAAGTGTTATGATCGGGGCAGTGTGGTATAAAAGGTAAGCTGTTGGCCGTAGGAAGAATTAATATCTAACGGCCTTCCTTGCTTTTGGGGAAAGCCACTGTTCCAAGCTCACCTTACACATTCTCCTACATAATGCTTATATGTCTGAAACGCACAGGTATTCCATTTCTAAGTGGGTTAGAACCATAAGAGGTTAAATAACTTCCCAAGACCATGCAGGTAGCAAGTCACAGTGCAGAAAGTCACACTCCTCAGCGGAGTTGGTGCCCTATACCTCTGTCATTTTCTGTTTTCAGGAAGCGGGAGAGGCAGGGAAGGCCCCCTAAGGAGGTGACTGGGGCCACGCACACTGAGGAATGAGGACACCACTTGCAGACCAGGGGGCCCGGGTGGCCAGTGTCTGGGATGTGTACCTGTTCGGAAGTTCAGAGAGAGCCAAGTGGGTGTGTGATGTCTCCTTCAGACACTTGCTCAGGAAGACACTGATCGGGGCAGTGTGGTAGAAAAGGCAAGTGTCCACATCTGCAAAGAGAAGTATCTGCTTCTCACTGACACAGCCAGCAAGTAGGACCGTGCACGTGGAACTGTGAAGGTGTGAAGGATGACACACACGGCCTTCTAGGCTGTGCGGCACATCTAAGCCCCTACGCTGGATCAGTGCACCTCACAGTATGGTCCCCAAAACAGCAGCAGCGCCTCTCTTGGGAACGGGCTGGACCTGCCGAATCAGAAACTCAGGCCAGAGCCTGATGATGTGTTAAACAAGTCTCCAGGGCTCGCTAAAGGGAACCCCGGCCTGGAGCCCCACTCTCTAGAGCTGATCCTCAGAATTATGGGTCCAAACACGCATCTCTGCCTATTTTTCCTACAGCAAAGACTGGATAGACAAATAGAATGAGATTCAGAAATTTTCTAGTAGCTGCTTACATTTTATTGAAAATCTGCCTTTCACTGCTGGAGGCAGGCAGCTGGATAGAGGCAAAGCTGGGTGTGCACCAGGAGCTCCAAGACTTCCTCAAATCCCTGTGCTCCTCCTACTATATCCTCAGGGGATGATGTCCCATCCCCAGGCACCAGAGCCTTTCAGATGAGTCCTGCAGATAGTAGAGCGCATTGGAGCAAGGACCACAGAACACTCCCAAGCTGGAAGCTGAGGAAAGGGGAATGGGTGGACACACAACCCACACAGTGGTGTGATTCAGCATGGGATGTTCTGTGGGAGATGCATCCATTCATGGAGGACCGGGCCAGGCAAGACCCACCATGAGCAGGTCCCAGAAGCTCATGGTCCAGTGAACACAAATAACACACATGGAGCAGCTGAGTGCTCCAGAAGTGATCTGTGCTAGATGGGAGATGATGTGATAAGGACCTGAGGCTCCCTTGCCCCCAGATGGTCAGGGAAGGTCACTAGAGGTGACATGTGGGCCGACACCTGAGCTAGAAGACAGATGCAGAGCTGCTGAGCTGGGCGGGTCAGCAGAAAGAGCTCTGAAGGGGTTACAGGACCCGTGATGACAGGGGCCATTTGTGGGGATGGAACTGCAGGTCACCAAGCCCAAGACCAGGAGGAATTAGGATCTCCCTGGCATGGGATCGGGACCACTGAGAAACCAGCTGACCTCAGGCAGACCTGAGGTCATACCAGGTCAGTGGCAGGAGCCTCCAGCCAGGCCTAGGCAAAGCTCAGCCACCTGTGCAGGAACCTGCATGCCGCAAAACTGAGACAGAAGTCTCATCTGTCCCTTCTCCTTCAACCCTGACACTGTCGGGTAGACACGGTCCACTTTTGTCTGATTTTGTTTCTCATCAGTCGATAATAGTACTGAGCACCGCTCAGATCTGCCACTCTTCTGATGTGATTCCCAGAGTCTTGCTGGCCCCTGCCATGGGCCCTTAAGGGGTGATGGAAGGAACACATCTGTGAGCCCCATGCCCAGCAGCTGAGTAGTGGGCAGGGCTTTCTGAAGGGGAGCAAAGAGACACCTGGGGGCAAGACGAAGTAAAGTTGCGAATGTTCAGATGCTACCCATCTGTTTCAGTCATCTTTCCATCACTATGACAAATGTTGAAATACTCAACTTATGAAAATGTGCAAGTGCAGTGGAGGAAGCTGAGGCAGGAAGATCACAAGTTGGAGGCCAGACTGGCAACTTAGCAAGACCTTATCTCAAGAAAAAAAAGTCTAGGGTTGTAACTC